ATATTAAGGCGGATGGTATTTATAAGTTTTTCATTCAAAGGAATGATATTTACACTATCTTTCTTATCTGGTCTAAACCCACCTCCTCACTCTGAGTATTATGTTATGCAGTTAGCTTAAGAAAGATAGTGTAAATAACATTCTTTTGAATAGAAAATTAAAAAGTATTATGCACCATAATCCGCCCTAATACTATCTACATAGTATCTCTATTCTAAATATCTAATTATATACGTAATTCCTAACGCGATCTAATTCAGTATACCAAACACAACCTAAGTGTTTAAAATGTTTCAAGTCCGAAACTTTTATGGCATGTTTACTGCAGTTAATTCGAGACTACTTGACAATATTAAATAAGAAAAAGAAGTACAAGTATGAAATTGATTCTAACGTATCCAGAAAAGAAAGAGGAATTGCACGACTATCACGTACTGTAATGTATACTATGTCTTGTATGATAGTTAAGTTAGTAGAGTATAATGTATGAATTAAAACAATGCAGAGGCAGTTAAATTAGATTTTGACTGCCTTTACGTCTGAATCTATGTAAACGTATGTAAGCATATATTTGAAGCAAGGGAAGAGAGAAAAAGTAGGATAGTTTTCATCCGGAGACAGTCTATCAGCGAGAGCTAGGCCAAAATTTAACTACTTGCTTAAAATTGTGCATTATACTTCAGTATTTGAATGGTTGAACCTGATTTCTGGGTAGTTTTCCATTCTCTCATTACCCTTATTAGTTAGTACCATCTCATTGTGTTTAATTTAATGCTTTAATTCCATCATTGACATTTACAACATGGTTATACTGATTTGAGCATCCTGTATTTTTTCTGGTTCCAAAAAACTTGCTTGCAGGTGCAAACTGGTGTACACGTTATTATGGATAAACAAGAAATAGTGGAAGCTCAATTGCAGATGGGAAAACTGCTAGTTTCGAAGGTCGGGCAACAAGTGGAAACCGACAACACGTCATGTGCAGTTCCGATGCAGACTGGAATTTTGACGTCTCAGAATTCTCACCAGCAGTTTTCTACTGTTCCTTCTGTACAGCCACCTTCAATCCTTGCTCTACCAAACGCTCCTCCTCTACTGATTCCCCAGCAGGATGGACAACCTCAGGTTCAGCTTCCAAACCAGTTCCCCCAAAACCAAGCTCCCTCCATCGCTCAGAGGGAGTCTTACTTCCCACCACCTGGCCAAACTCCGGAAAACCTGAGTCAGCAGTACCAAGTACCTCCACTGCATCAGCAACTGCCTTCCTCTCCATCACTACAGCCACGGTACTCTCAGCCACCTCCACCTCAACCCCACCCTGTATTATCGGCTGTTAATCCCTCTCAACCTCAGCCTGCATTGGGTCATCATCATGAAGAAACACAGTATATACCACCCCAAACTTACCAGCCAAGCACTCGTCCACCACTCTCTCATCCCTCACAACAATTTTATGGGCCTCCTGACAACATGTATCAGCCTCCATCTAGCAAACTGACTCCAGGATATCCTGGTTCTTATGGCCCATCATCTGGGCCCCGGGAACTATATTCTTACAGCATCTCACCTATGAAATTGCAGCAACTTTCTTCTCCTGGCCAGAACAGTGGAAGTGGTTATCCCCAACTCCCTTGTGGCAGGATATTACCTCATGTGCCACCTATTGTCTCTGCGGTAGGTGGTGGTTCAGGATCTGTTGGTACCGGAAACAGGGTTCCTATTGATGACGTGATTGACAAAGTGGCAACTATGGGATTTTCACGAGATCAAGTGAGGGCAACAGTTCGGAAGTTAACAGAGAATGGACAGTCGGTTGATTTGAATGTGGTCTTAGACAAACTGATGAACGATGGGGAAGGCCAGCCTCCACGTGGTTGGTTTGGTCGGTGACATGTTTTCTTTTGTGTTTCACGCTTATGTATAGGGTTTGAAGTACTCTTCATCAAACCTACCTTGCTAGAAAGTGGCAATTGCTTGTTATTTCTCATTATGCGTCATTTTGC